TTTTGTTTTTTCCATTGGAAACCATTAGGCGAACCATCCAATAGTTTCAAATGGAGAAAAATCAAAAAATCATCATAAATTAACAAAGAGTCAGAACAAGACCAAAATCAGTTTGCATAGGTTTCAGGAGGTGGACTAACCATTGCAATCATTTAAAACACCTTCCAAACATTATAAGACACTTTTACAGGAGCGAAAAGGGAGATCGTTGTGTGAAAATCCCCCATAGGAAACATCGCTGTGTGAGGCAGCAAATTTGACAGAAAAAGGCATCGTTGTGTGAATTCATCGTTGTGTGAGGCACTCGTTGTGCGAGGCACCACTGTACTAGAGTAGTGAGGGCCCCCCGATCAAGATATGGACGCAGCTGGGCAATCCACCATAGATGGAAATAGGTGGAGTGGACCACGGACGCCACCTGGGTTTCCATAGTAAGTGCTGGGTCCAGATGTACCCCCAAGCTGCGGACCTCATTCTTAACTTTAGTTAACTTTTTCTTAACTTTAGTTACCGGCAGCTTGTAGTATGATGGTGGGTAGTGGTAGTTTTTGGTGGGATGTGAGGTATGTCACACCCTTTTATTGTAGTCTACCCCAGAACTGAGGAGTTTCTCTGCCCTTGAGGTAGATTATTTTTAAGACTCTGGACTTGCACAGGGAGTGTGAGATGCTTTTTAGAATGACAAGGTGCGTTACGTGGCTCACTTCACAACATAATAAGCCATCCCTTTTGCATCTCGGGGCCATCCCGGTCATGTGGGTGAGAGGGGCCCGAGACACCTGTCCCAAAGTTCTAGTCTAATACTCATAAGGGACAGGTCTGTGTTAGCTTCCTTTCCATCTTGTGCTCTGATTTCTGTGAACTGGAAGCTGGGAGTCCTGCCCTAGTCCTGAGTTCTGACTGAAATTATCCTAGGAATGAAATGGTGTCCTCCAGTTTATGTGTAGAGAAAGGAATCTCTGGGCCATGGAGGGTCAGAATCTGGCTTGCCAGCAGTTCCTCACCAACCCTGTTCCCAAACTCAAACTCAATTTAAATTAATTAAATTGAGGTTGTACCTCTGCTTTTAATTTGCCTCCATTGACTAAGAAAAACCACTCCAGCTATGGGGATGGTGCTTCTACCATCTAGTAAATTGCTTCTTAGTTTTCTGGTGCTCATTCATAATACAAGGAACATTTTCCCCACTGTCTTCAGATCTACTTCCATTGCAGTGCAGTAATCTGTGATTCCAGCTACCCATCTTCCGATGACCTCTGTGCCAGGCGTTGCATTCCCAGAAGGCAGAGAGTTGGTAAGTTGCTGCAAATGATTTTGACAGGAGCTCCCAAGCAAAGCTGGAGCCTCCCATCACCTAGTACAGTACGTACATTGCTTTAGCACATCTTTATTCCATTCAGATTAGAGGCTCCCAACCGTAGATCCCCAGATTTTGATTGACTGCTAATCCTTACCCACTAGTTATGCTAGCTGGGATTTCTAGGATCTGAAGTCTATCATCACTGGGAGCCCAAGGTAGGGGGAACAGTTGCTCTTGCATCCACTGTATTACCTGCTTCTCTAGGTGGGAGCTATACTATGCTACCAAACGCCCATAGCGATACAAAACTGTCTTCTAAAAACTTAGTACTGTATCCATTTTCAAGAGGCCAGTGTGTGTGTGTCCTGTAATGTAGCAATGTTTATTTTATTATGGAGGCAAATGGTTTTCATACTTTTTGTAATATCCTTACATATTCAGAGTAAGTTTAGATTACATATTTAAGATGACTGGTTGAGGAGAATCAGAAACGCAACAACCCTTCCCCAGAAGTACGGCTGTCAGCTTGTTGAGTTAACCATCTGCAGTCCTAGTAGCATAGGGAATGGTGCCACCTTCTGAGCATCTTGGGATGACTCTCAAAGGCATCTCAGAGTTGTAGTCTGGCAGTAGTTGCAGCCAGTCACATCTATTGCAAAACAAACACTTCCGAAACACAACCATGTACTGTACTACTTTGCACTTGTCCAGCTCCATATGATGGCGGTTTGGGCAAGAGACTTCTCACCAGCAAATTGTCCACAAATTAAGGTGGCTTGGGGTCGAGGAGTAGTGAAACGCAGTACTAAACGAAGGGGTGCAGCTGTAGATCCTTAATGCTCCTAGCACAAAACGATTTATTATTCATGGGTGGGCGAATGTGTGGCCCTTCAGATACTGTGAGACTGTAACTTCTATCATTCTTACCTTGTGTAGCCAACTGTGAGGGATAATGGGCATTCTAATCCCCACAATGGCTGGAGGGCCATCTCTTCCCCATATTCTGGTTTATCTGATCCGTTCAAGTGCAAAAGTGTGTTTCTCCTATTTAACTCGAGATGGGAAAAACGGTCCCACAATCTGATTGCATACTGATGTAAAATCTGCATCTGTAGCCAGCAAAAAAAATGTCAAGAGAGTGTTTTTAACTAGGTAGATAACTAGGCTCTGAATGTAAGCAGACTGTACTTTTCTTTTTAAATCCCTTAGGCCGCAGCATTGATTCTAACCGTGATCTACAAGGATATGTTTCATCTGGAGCAATTGTGTTAGGAAGCAAGAATCACACCTAGGCATCTTTGCAACAGACTTGACTGATGGCAGTTCATAGCTGTTGAAATAGCAAGTGGTATTTATTGCTGTCTATTGCTGCTTATGTATTTCTTGGGCAATAAAGGTTTGCAATAGGCGTGTTCAGGCTATGGTCTTTTCTGCAAAATCTTAAAGAGGAAGAGTCAGTTAAGGTGAGACACAGGACAAAGAGAGTCTGTGTGGTGTAGTGGTCAGAGTGTCAGATTAAGACTTCAGAGAGGAGGGTCCAAATACAGTATCCATTCAGCCACGGAGATTCACTGGGGGATGGAACTGGTAAACATCTCACATAATTCAAAAACATTATTAAAGGCCATTAGAAGTCAGAGGCAACTTAGTAGCAAATAACACATATTAGGACAAGGTAAAAGGTCAAATAATATTATCTAAAGTAGCATCCTAGCCCTCAATGTGCAGTTTTGCTGTCTTATAGGCAGGATAAAGTGGGTAATATAGGAGACTAGAAACAACTCTGAAGTTGCCTCTTAACAAAAGTTTTAAAATATGTTGAATTGCTCCTGCTCCTTGACTCTAAAGCAGAATTCAAGATGCACTAATTCCAGTGCCATTTTGCTCTTCACCATGTATAATAAACATAGCCCTGTCTAACTGTTCTGTCAGCTCCAATCAACACAGTGAGGAATGTGGAAATTCCCTCCAGCAGTATACAGAGGAGCAGCTGGTGTGTACCTTTAGTGCGTTGATGTACTTGGTTGAGGAGCCAGGGGTGGATAAGTCTGAATCCTCCCTGCTTCCCGGAGCCAGCCTTTGTGACCCTGAGTAAACTACACAGTTCAAGAAGTGCCACCCAAAGAAGGGAATGGGAAACCAGTTCTGAGTACTTTATACTCTAAGAGCCACCTTAAGTCAGAACTGACTTAATAGGACATAATTAATTTGTTAATGTTAGAGACCAAATTGCTAACATGTGCTGGATCATGGAGAAAGACAGAGTTCTAGAAAAACATCTACTTCTGCTTCATTGACTACGCAAAAGCCTTTGACTCTGTGGACCACAGCAAACTATGGCAAGTTCATAAAGAAATGGAAGTACCTGACCACCTTACTTATCTCCTGAGAAATCTATATGTGGGACAGGAAGCAACAATTAGAACTGGATATGGAATTGATTGGTTCAAAATTGGGAAAGGAGTATGACAAGGCTGTATGTTGTCCCCTGGCTTATTTAACTTATATGCAGAATACATCATGCGAAAGGCAGGACTGGAGGAATCCCAAGTCAGAATTAAGATTGCCAGAAGGAATATCAACAACCTAAAATATGCAGATGATAGCACTCTGATGGCAGAAAGTGAGAAAGAATTAAAGAACCTCGTAAAGAGGGGGAAAGGAGAGCACACAAAATGGTCTGATGCTCAACATAAAAAAAACTAAGATCATGGACACTGGTTCTATCACCTCCTGGCAAATAGAAGGGGAAGATATGGAGGCAGTGAAAGATTTTACTTTCTTGGCCTCCATGATCACTGTAGATGCTGACAGCAGCCACAAAATTAAAAGACGCCTGCTTCTTGGGAGGAAAGCGATGACAAATCTTGACAGCATCTTGCCGACAAAGGTCTGCATAGTCAAAGCTACGGTTTTTCCTGTAGTGATGTATGGAAGTGAGAGCAGGACCATAAAGAAGGCTGACTTGATGCTTTTGAATTGTGGTGCTGGAGGAGACTCTTGAGAGTCATCTGGACTGCAAGGAGATCAAACCTATCAATTCTAAAGGAAATCAATCCTGAGTGCTCACTGGAAGGACAGATCCTGAAGCTGAGGCTCCAATACTTTGGCCATCTCATGAGAAGAGAAGACTCCGTGATGTTGGGAAAGTGGGAAGGCAAGAGGAGAAATGGATGACAGAGGACGAGATGGTTGGACATCGTCACCAAAGCAACCAACATGAATTGGACCCAACTCTGGGAGGCAGTGGGAGACAGGAGGGCCTGGCGTGCTCTGGTCCACAGGGTCACGAAGAGTCGGACAGGACTTAACGACTAAACAATAAATGTTAATGTAAGGAGAGTGACAGTTTTCCTGTCTCTGATCATACTGGCTACAAACCTATTACAGTTGCCTTGTGGGCAAACTAGCTTTTAATCTCACAGCTGTGAGCAACAGGTGTAGGGTAATCGTGGCTCAGATGTGAGGAAATACGTAATGCAGGATAAATAAGACTGATGTCTATTCACAACTATGCGTAAACTAGAATCTAGCACTGGCTTGCCAAGATGTTACTTTTCATATGTAAAGTACATAGGCCTTTTTCTACACTGACAGTTCACTGCAGGATTCTCTAAAACCTCAGCAAAACAAAAGGATAGTGACTTGCCATTCTGGAGAGCTGCCAAATAACCCTCCAGAGGAGGAAGCAACTACTGCACCAGAAATGCCATTTAAATATTCTTTTCATTAAAAAAAAATGCCATTGAACTCGCCTGTCACAGCATGGACAAAATTTCTCATAAATGTTCAAGGACCTGCAGAGCTGTCTTCTGTTGGCATGGCTCAGTGGGTTGGAGTGGCTGGGGTTTAAACCCTCCACTATCCCCCTATTGTGCAAGAGCTAGCTGAGATTGTCCAAGGTATGTGTGGCTAATGGGATTACAGGCACCAGAAAGGTGGCTAGTAATCCACTTGTGAGTACTAGAGGGCATCAAGATACTGTACTAACTTTTTAGGATGCTAACTCATAGAATTTTGAGAGTTGCGGCCCATAAATACACACCTACAAACACCTATATTTCACTCACCTGGAAAAGGCTGTAGTCTTGCTGCTTGTTAGGCTTTACAAGAGGCCCCTTCCAAAGAACATTAATTCTCAAGCACCAGGTTAGCTTCCTTTTTAAACTGCATGAACAGGAAGCAATGCCAGAGATGGCTGTGCAGCTTTGCAGGCAAGGCCCTTCTCTAGATGAGTAAAATGTAGGTGACTGTAGGTGCATCTTTGTGGGCTGAGACTCCTGGAATTGTCTGGGGAACTCTTGGAGAATTCTGGGATTTGGGAGTCCAAAAACCTCAACGGCACACTCATGCTAAACAGCCCTGGGAGGACTGCTGCAAGTTAGATGTGAATTAATGACATGCAATTTATATAGAGTGGATTTCAAACTGCATTTTCCGTCCTTTTATAAGTAGACAGAATACTGATTTAATATTTCTTAGTAAGTGGCTCAGCGGGGAAGTAGGGTCAAGAAGGATGACTTACTAGACGAGAAGGCTGTCCTAATGGGTCTACTTCAACTAAGTTCACTACACTGTTACCAACCTTAAGACACAAATATCCAACAGCAATATTTTATTATATATGCAAGTCAGTCCTTTTTCCTTAAAAAATGGGGGGACAGAGGAGAGAATGTTTTGGGAAATGGGTACTGTTAAATATGCATATACTCTAGTGTACAATATTGCTAAGATTATAGTCACTTAACACTCAATACCAGCCTTGCCCAAACCTCTGCCCTCCAAGTGTGTTTGGACCACAACTTCCATACCTTATGACCTCTAATGACAAATGATGCTTGGAGTTGTAGACAAGTAGTTCCCAATCTTGAGTAACCCAGGTGTTCTTGGAGTGCAACTCCCAGAGACCTTCACTGCTAGCTGTGCTCGCTGAGGTTTTGGAGTTGCAGGTTGGGAATCACTGTGGTAGACCAAACCATCTGGAGAGTACTATGGCTGGAAAAGGCTGCTTTTTGTGGGATATGTTTGAGTAACAACTCAAGAGGTGTGTGTGTGCGCGTGTGTGTATAAAATGTGTAAATAAATGATGGTATTAAGCTTCTGTGTATTTTAAAATAACCATTACTGTATTTCTTGCATCCAAATTGGTCGCTGATTTCTAACCAAAGATTAGAAAGGTACTTCTAAAAATGAGTGGATTTGTATCATAGCAAAAGAAAGTAACTTGTTGCCATTACTTGCAAAAATATTTAAAAATCAACTGACTGCATTCTTACTTTAAAAAGAAAACTATGGAAACTAAAAGAAATGCATAAAACTTCAATTTCCTGTCAAAATTCCTTCAAAAAGGTGCTTTAAAATTAACAGGAAAAAGTTATTGGTTACATACAGTACTAAAGGAATTTTTTTTCATACAACCTGTGTAAATATTTAGTGTATCTTTGTTATTCTCTTGTTACAAAAGCATGACATGCTAAAGAAAACTTATTTGTGACTCACTACTTCCAAGCTCTGCTTCCTGAAAACTGTATTAGTGGGTCTGTTTTGCTTTTTTAGAGGGAAGAAGTTTTCTTAACTGGCAAATAGCAAGCAGATCTAAGGGCCAGTAATATGGCTGAGCTCCCTTTTTTTAACCTTTCACTCATGTTTAGCTGTTCCTCTTGAGGGAAGGCAGCTGCTTGCTTGTTTAGAGCTTGGGGTCAAGCAGTTTGTGGAGTGTAACTTATACAGAGCAACTTTCTAAATTCAGCCAGCCATTCAAAATGGATATTACAGGGCTGTTGGTCATATAAGACAAAATCCAGAACCACTCTGCTTTCATGTTGTGCCTGGGCTTTTCATTCTTGAACTTTTCAATAGAAGTACTGTCTATATGTCATACAGCTGTAGTACTTTTAAGTACTAGGTCTGGACAGACTGCTCTGGCAGGGCCAGGTGGTGGTCTGCCATCAATTATTACCAATTTCCTCCAGAGATCAGTTAAAGCAAAACATTTCCACAGATATATTGCTTACTCCACCCACACCTTGTAGAGCTACAGGGATGATGGGTTGGTGAAATGCACTGTTCCATAAACCATGCTCAAGAATCACACACTGGAAGAAAAGAAAATAATCTAAAAAGCTCCAGCTTTTCTCATTTGGCCCGTACTCACTTCGCTACACAAGTAATTCAAACTTCTTGCTGTAGAGATGTGAATCAGTCCCAGTAGCCATTCACTGCTATAATGCAAGGGAAAATGTTTGTATATAGTGAGTGAATCTGTTAAAAACAACTCAGAGGTACCTATGTAACAAAAGATGTGTCCTTAGGCTAACGCAATCTTCCCCAACAGTATGCATGAGCTGTGTCAGATGAAAAAAGTAATAAAAAATCAGCCATGCTACTTGGAGAGGGATATTTGTAAGGTTTAATATGGTTCTTGTGGATGTTCCCTTCCCCCCATGACCCTAAACATACTTCTTTATTAGCTCCTAGACTTTGTTAAAAGTATTCCACCTCAAGCAAACATTCCTTTCAAGCTTGGAACTAGTTTCTTCCTCTCCAACCCATTTCGGATGTAAACTCAAGTAAGACAGGACACATGTGGAGGAATGACCAGTACAGATTACATACAAGATAACAGAACCAGCATGGGAAGCACAAAGAATGTTGTATCTATAGGCTTTCACTTCCAAAGATGAGCCCGGAGCAAGTCACAGGATCCCGAGAACCTCTGAGACAACTGCTAGTTCTTACAGCCAGAAAGATGTTTTCAGCACCCAAAAAGGGCAAGACTTTTCAGCCTTACCAAACCTTCTTTCAAGGTTAATAAAACATACAATAAAATAGTCAAATTACTACCACCCTCACTATACTCCAACAGACGGTCATACAGAATAAGATGTTTTAAATTCTTAAATGGTCTGGATATAGATACTTGAAAACATTAAGTCCCAGAAAGTCTGGACAAATTTGCATTTCAGTTTGGCTTGGTTTCTTTCCCCATACTCCTTTGGAATGGATCAGATAGGCACTGCAGTGATATATGCCTTAAGCATGTTAATTCAGCTTACAACCTAACTGTGAATTAAAAAAAAAAAAGCAAAGTGTGTTGCTTATATACCACCCCATAGCGCTTCAAGCACTCTCTGGGTGGTTTACAAGTTAATTATGCAGGCTACACATTGCCCCCCCCCCCAGCGAGTTGGGTACTCATTTTACTGACCTCGGAAGGATAGAAGGCTGAGTCAACCTTGAGCCAGCTACCTGGGATTGAAGTCCAGGTTGTGAGTACAGTTTTAGCTGCAGTCCAACAGTTTAACCACTGGCCAACTTGCTTATAGCAGAGCAAAACTTGTTTTCTATTCTGTTCTTCAAAGAGTTCACCGTTGACACTGTCCAAAGCTCAAGGGATTGAAGTCTACAGCCTGGGCTCTGTACAGCCTGGGCTCTGTTACATCCTGGCTATTCAAATTTGCCTAGACCTTCCACTAAAAATATTTCAGCTACGAGACAATCACATCTATTACTTTATGTAGGTTATGGCAGTGCACAAGAGATATAGTCTAATACTAACAGAGAGTGTCCTTGGTTGAGAAGCTGGAGTGGGGTTGGGCAGTGCAGGTAAAGAATATCACCATGGCAGCAACCCATCTTTTGCTAGATGCAAACACAGGATTGCCTTCTAAGGAAGAGATTTCTGAAGAGGCAAGAAGGAACAAGCCCCACCATGTACTAAACATCGCTACAAATTTATTACAGATTTGTCTTTCAAGTACATTTTGAAAAGTAACAACCACTTTTTAAACATGTGAATACAAATTAAACACAAAAATCATACACCCCGGTGGCAATGCAGTGAGTACAAACAGGGCAGGAAAGAAGAAGCAGGAGTGAAGGAGAGCAGAGAGACAAAAGCAACAGAATAATTTCTTTGCACGTGGAGCTGTGGCAGTGGCTATTCCAGCCACAGGAGGTCCAGAGAGCTGCCCAACAGCAACAAACTGGCCCGTAGCACCTTTGCTTACAAATATAGATATTTTTGCTAGGAAGGGGGCCAGGCTGTGAGGCCCGGACTCCAGGGCCAGTTTGAAGGACAGACAGCTCCCTGCTCTGCTGTTAAGAGATTAAATGTTTCAATTGGAGACAACTCTCACTAGGGTGAAGTGACTTGAAGCCACTTTCCTGAAACAGCACTGGAAGAGAATCAGAACTTAGCTGGCCTTTTAACTGGACTGTGTTTGCTTTGAGGAAGGAGATCTGGTCCAAAGTGGTTTAGCTATATCACAGAGAGCAGAAAAGCCAGCCATGGGATTAATTTGTCTACTGAGAGGAGGGGTGCAAGGAGGACTGCTGGCCCACTGTGCTGGAGGACTAAATTCCATTCCCCCCCCCCAATAAATGATTTGTTTCACAAATCAATAGTGCCTTGCTGGGTGAAGGGATGCTCCTGCCCCTCCCCAGTCTGGATGTTTTTATTCAAAGTGTTGACCATTACCTAAAGTAAAGGCCTCTCACGCTTAGCAGGAAGTCTTCTATAAAGGAACTGCCAGGAGCAGTGTAGTGCCATGGGCTACCAACAAGAGAGCCAAGACTGCTGCGAGTAAGGAGGCAAAAGGACAAGGGGTTCTCCTGCTGACCCATAGGGCCAGCGCCTTCTGACTTCTGGTGGAAGGGTCAGAAGCCTGCGATGGAAGGGGGGAAATGCCACCCCTGCACAGTGATGGGAAGAGCAGACAGGGAGCCCCACCTCCACAGTTAGTTGCCAAGCTCCAGAAGAAACCCTGCCCAAATCTAGCAGCCTCCCCCTCTGAAAAGACATGCCAGTCCTGGCTTCAGCATGGAATCAGAGGGGAGGCAAGCCTGGAAGCGAACAGCTCACCAGCTTGGTGGCAGGCAGGGAAGGCAGGCGAGGGAGAAATTACAACAGCTGGCACGAGGTCTTTTTGCGGCCACGCTTGGCTTGCAGGGCAGCCCGAGTGGCCATCTCAAACACTTCCCGTACGCCATCCTTTGTCTTGGCAGAACATTCCAGGTAGCCAAAAGCACTAATCCTGTTAGCCATGTCCCGGCCCTCCTCTGGTTTCACTGGTTCCTGAAAAAAAAGAGAAAAAGACAGTGAGACAGCTTGGATAGTACCTTGGTGATGGCAAAGCAACATAGCAATCAAAGCAACAATCCAAAAAGCTTCAGAACCAACTGCCAGTAGTGACTCCTCACCTAGGATAATTTCCTGAACAGAAAGAAATATCCAGCTCTTATCAGAACGCTGGAAGTTTTTCCTTATAGCTTTCTGCAAGTACAAGCCTCACAAAGTCACATGCATTGAGCTATCAAAGAATATTAACAGCTCTGCAGAAGTCTCCTGCTTTCTGGCTCACCATGTTCCATTCTGCTAACAAATACAGGGGAAACCAGCTCCTCCTATCACCACCACAGTCTTCACAGAGGCATGTTTATGGAGAGGACAACTTCCTTCCAAGCCCCAGCTGGCCTGGGTCCCTCTCTAGCAGGGCCTAAGGTATTATTGATGGCAATACTGGGTCCCTGCAGTGGATATGAAATGCTTGGCTTCACCTGCTTCATCTTGGCTAACTCCCGGCGTGTATGTTCATCATTGCGCAGATCCTTCTTGTTTCCCACCAGGATGATAGGCACATTGGGACAGAAATGCTTCACCTCTGGAGTCCACTTCTCAGGGATGTTCTCTGTAAGTCAACAAGAAGCCAGGCATATCACAAGCATAACTCAAGATGATCAAGGGAGTTGTTACATGGCACAAATGGCATGTCACATCCCCCCCAAAAAAGTCCTGGGAAATATTTGCAACTTGCTTCAGCTACTTGCAGGAACGAATCTGAATAACTTTCCCCACTGCAGTACACAAGTGACAACTCAGAAAAAAGGGAAAGTGTGAAAGCTTGGGTGCACATGGGTGCCCGAAGGTTGGGTGGCCAAAGAAGGAAAGAGAGAGGGACAAACAATAGTGAGTACAAACATAGCTGTGCCACATGCTACATGCCAACAAAGTAAGCTGTTTTAACACTTGAGCTCAAGGAGAATAGCTTCACTAGCATTTGAATAACTCTATGAAGAAACATCCAAGGAAGCAGATTATACCACCTTCTGCTTCTCATTCAGACACCTGTCCCTCTGTAAGCAAGGATCAAATAATAAAGACTCACCTAAACTGTCAGGGCTGTCAATGGAAAAGCACATGAGGATGACGTCTGTGTCTGGATAAGAAAGGGGCCTCAGGCGATCATAGTCTTCTTGACCAGCTGTATCCCACAGAGCAAGTTCTACCTGTGGCGATACAAATGTGGTGGCTTATATTTTTCAATGGATTGTTACAGCATTAGGCTTGAGGACAGTCCACCATATGCTAATGGCTCACCCCACTAAACCTTCAATGGACTTCAGTAAACTGGGTCTTTCAATGTACAAGGATACTGATATTGTCTAAATTGAACCTGAAACATCCACACCCAGTTGTGATCTCACCAAAGTAGTACAGATATAAATTACCTGTTCATCCCATTACTGTTTTTTTTTTCTTTTAAACTAATTCCTCTCCCTGTTCTTTACAAGTGAACACAATGGAATAGGGCTCCATCGCACTTACTATGGCTAACTAGGAGATAGAAAGCAATATTGTATCCCAGCTACATGCACTGAAAGGCCAAACGCTCAACACAATCTATTAGTGGTTTTCAATCTCTGGCCCTCTATGAAAATCAAAATCTCTGACCACTGACCATACTGGCTCAGGATTTTTTAGAGACAAAGACCAAAATACCTGGAGAGCCAAATGTTGAAAATCACAACATATTGAAAAATAACCTCATAGTAATTTCTTTCATTACTAGACATTTTATTTCCAGATTCATATGCCCTGAAATATACAAGACAAAGCCAGGATCAGATCTGGATAGAAGAATTTCCATCACTGCAACCTGGAAGGGCAAGAAGGGCTTCAGAACAGGTTCTAAAAAAGATTTTCAAGATGGTGATGGAGCAGGGAAAAGAAAGGCCTTCTGAGAGCGCACATGAGAGGAAAATTAACCCCTCCTGGTTCCACTAATTAAATGGCTTCCAATAATGAAAGCAGAAAGCTGCATCCTGGACAAAAAAGTAATTTCCTTTCCTGTATACATCTATATGTTTGCTGCTGCAAATAAATATAGCCTGTTTCTACTAGCCGCATATCAAGACTCAGAGTGAGACTTTCACACTTATAGGAGGGAACATTTCTACTCCACAGATTTTCTGCCTGCAATGACACATCAGAGCTAGCCTGGCAAGTTAGCCTGCAAGACACCGCTCAGTGTATGTTTGCCTAAGAACTCTCACCTGACAAGCAGCATTCACTGCATTCGCCTACACTCTACAGTCCTTGCAGTTCTCTCCCAAGAGTGTGAAACACCAGCTACAAAGGTCCCTCACTGGATCCCAAGTATTTGTGAAGCATAAACACTGGACTGAGTTAGCAATAGGAATTTCCATGTATTTCTCGGCCCAGGGACTCCAACTCCCAGCAGCCGGAACCAGTATTGCCAAAAGAGAAATGATGAGAATAGAATTTTGATAATATGGGGAGAGCTCCGGATTCCTCAGCCCAGGAGTAGACAAACTTATTCTCTGCATTAGTTCCTCTGTTATTCCACTGCAGTTACCCCTTCTGCTCATTAAGGTCTTCTTTCCCCTATATATACAATGAAAACTGCTAAGGCTCTGTTGTTTCAGGATTAACCTCTCTAAGACAAAAGCCATGATTAGTAATAATCTGTTCAGTAAAGTAGGCATTACCTGCTTTCCATCCACTTCAATATCAGCCACGTAGTTTTCAAAGACGGTGGGGACATAAACCTCAGGGAACTGGTCCTTGCTGAAGACAATGAGGAGGCAGGTCTTTCCACAAGCTCCATCTCCCACAATAACAAGTTTCTTGCGTATAGCAGCCATTTTTGCTGAAAAGAAAAAAGGATTCTTTATTAACTGACAATATAGGAGGGCCATTTTGAAGTATGGAGGGTGTCCTTCTCCCCTGGCCGAGCACTCAGCAAGCCTCCTGGCTAGATAGGCCATTCCTTCAACTAATCCTTGAGCTGGAAGGTTTAGGTATGGTTAATAGACACTATTCCCAGAACTGTCTTTGGTCGCTGGAGCCTCAAGTGATGTTCCAGCAACAAAATCATAGCAAGTAGAAGTCAGGAATGTTGGAAAGTGTTCTGGCAACCTATTTGAGTCCGAACAGCAAAATACTTGCTGAAGCAGATCCTAGGTTTGAGTATAAGCAAAAGCAACCCAAGAACAGCCAAATCAACCTATCATTTGTTATTGTTTCTTCTAACTCTATGGAAGCACAATTGTGAAGAAGTAGATGATAAAGATTAATATAATACAATGGAAGACTATCTACACTGAAAAAAAATCTGTTGTCAAAGAGACTGTCCTGTATTATGACACAAGTCAAAGAAGTCCCTAACTACCTAGACAGATTTAAGCTTCACCAATGAATCACATTATGGTGCTTCTCTTAGCATATTAAACAAATGTTAACTTACACTCAATGTGTCCTCTAATTTTCAACCCTGCTGGGTAGGATTCCACCTCTCTCAAGCAACTTCACCCCTGTGTGCACGTGCAACTCTGCCCCCCTCCCCCGCGTGCAGGATTCAATTGTGACTGCAACCAAAGGGACCGAATGCGATTGCTGCACAGAGAAGGAAGGGAACTGCATGGAGGGAGGTGGAGTCACATGCACACAGCTTAGAGGAAATCTTCCTTACTTATTTCACCTCAATTCTATTTTATATTTCACACTGACATTTGAATGACGTGTCCTATTTTCTGTAAGTCTTTCCCTCTAGAACCTCAAGCTTCTAACAGTCTTTGCTGAATTACTAATTTTGATTGTTTCCCTTTTGTTTCTAATACTAATCTAATTTTAAAACTTGCCTTATATTTGGCTTTTCTACCACAGTTCCCAATAAAACGTAGAACACACCATGAGCATAGCTCTGTACAAGGGGTCAAGATGAAGGCAATAAGGAACAAGCATGAAAGTACTACAGTACCTTGGATGCCCAGATTGAAAGTGTCATTTGATGGCAATAATGTTTCTGCATAAGGAGAGAACTCTCCAACCTTCATGTGCTTTGCATATTGAGCAAATTTACTGGAATTCTCTTATGCTGCAGAAATTTTTTTGATTTTGCTTGGTGTGTGGAGTAATAAGGAGCAAAAGGTCCTTCTTTTGGCCATGGAAAATCTTATACAGTTCCCTTCTGCAATTTCAGCCATCATTGCTTGTACCGTTTTAAGGACATCTTCCTTGTCTTTCGAAATAAGAAATCACTCTTTGTAGAAAGATAGCAATGAAGCTGAATTCTGTAACCACAATCATATTATATTATTATACACACCTGGAGACCAACAGCACACAACAGTCTAAGCATACTTTTCTTTTACCTTCCTTTCCATGAGTCTTCCCTCAAAAAACAAATGTCCACAAATAAGCACCCTTTTTAGCTAGCTTTTCTTAAACAGGAAACTCCATTCACAGAGAGCTGACTGCTCACAGCCCCTCCCTTTTCCTTATTTGCAGATCACAGCCTAACAGAACTTATAAAGTTGAATTCTTCTGGAAATTGCAGTGGGTGGGGATATCTTTCGACTATGTTGTAAAAGCAGCCTCTCTGTTCTTGACATGTTAAATGGGGTCTGAAGCAAAGGCCTATTACACCTGCCTGGGAAGATGTGGATACAGTCTATGAGGAAACTAGCCATATCACCACTACTGGTTCCAGGGATCCTATCATTGTATGGCAGCAATGATGAAACACAAGCTTATTTAATTTGGCCCAGCAGATAACTGAGAATATCCCAATGAAGCCCATGACTCTTCCTTGGGTCACTACATACCAGCAATCCCCTCCTAGATGCCCTGTCTGTTCAGAAGGAAATTAGGGCACGAGATCTAAGAATGGGGCACATATTCACAAATATTCTTACTCATTGTGAACAACAACTATCAACTGTTACGATTTTTTTTTGTTCTGCAGAATTTTTTTCCCAAAGAACATGATTTATGCAAAATATGCTTCTGTCTTTTTTTCAAACATTAGCTTAAAATGCACAAAACCTCTCCCTAGCAAGGACAAAACTCGCCCAAATTCTTCATTCTAAATTGAAAGAATGTTATTAAATGAAAACCCCAATGAGATCCGTTGAGCCACGATCTTGATGAAATGAGTCTACTGCTATGTTCCTCCCATGCCTTCCCAGTGACCGGGGGGGGGGGTTCAGGCTGCTGCTTTCAAGAGCCCCCAAAACACAAACCTTAATTTAGCTTTGAGACAAAGCCAGGTCTTCTGGTATAGTGCTGAAGAAGCTCCAGCTGGCACTTTCAACTGGAAACCAGTGTGGATGAGAAGAGCTTGTCTCTCCTTGTGACATCATTAGATGACTGAAAATATCTATACCCCACCATGATTTGTATTCCTACATAGAGTGGGGGCTGAACTTGGGGGACTTACAGGCCCCTTCTAACTTCACTGTTCTATTATTCTCACTACTGTTCCATGACACAGGAAATTCTACTCCACATGCACTTAAATGCATTTCTGCTTTAAAAAGATAACACAACACTCCATACATCCCATAGAGAAGCAAGCTCATTTAGTGTGCATGTTTTAACACTTTACATTGGACTCTGGAGAAAGAAGGAAATTGGGCACTTAAGCCATTAGGATGGAAGAGACTCTTGCAGTTTTTTCTTTTATTCCAAGAACCTCTCTTTTATCCCACTCCCCCCCACCACCAAAATCAGCCTCTTCAAACTGCATAAGAACAAGTCACTTATTTTAACCCATTTCAGCATTTAAGATCAATATAAACCTAGACTTCACTATCGCAGTACAGTACAGTACTCTGCAAGCAGAGCTGGGCTACAGTTTTTACCATTATGCCCACTGCCATGCTGACCAGAGAGGATCAGAGCTGCAGAACAACAGATCTGGGAACCTCCACATATGGGAAGACTGACTTGCAAAAAAAGTAATTAAAAAAAACACTTTAACATGCTCATATTGGTATTCAGCGAAAATTTCAAGAGGACACTGCTCAGATGAATAATGTATAAAGTAGAGCAGGCTGGGAACACATCAAAGGCACTTTCATAATAAGCTGGGAACTCTTAGTTTATCCAAACTTATCCGTTTTGGAATTTGTAAACACCAACGTTAAATCTGGTTAAATTTGTTTTTTACATAATATAATCAGTAACTACTTAGATCAGGGCAGGGAACCTGTGATCCTCTGGTATTGCTGAATCACAACTCCAGTCACCCTGACCATTGGCCATACTGCTGGCAGCTGAATGGAGTCCAATAACATTTAGGGAGCCACAGGTTCCCTACCCATGATCTACATACTTGGTGCTTATATGGAGCCTGATACAGAGATTGCAGCGCTAATTATTTTTTATCCAGAAAAACAGTTCAAGGAGATAAAGATGACTGTATATGACAACATGAATTACGAGTAGGCATAAGGATTCATGAGCCTCAATTATTTGACACTGACACTGCTCTGAAGTGGGGCTGAATATTTGGTACTTTATTTGGTTTGACTCATACAATCCAGAACAGAAGCACTTTTCTGGTTTAAAAAAAAACCAGTACCAATTCAGAAACCTTGCACTCAGAATTCATAGTAAGGTTAGCTTAGTTGGAGGACTGTGTGCTTTTTTAAAAGCCAGAAAGCTTTATGTCAGGGTTTGGGGTTAGAATGGGAGAAACAGAATACTGTTTTGGATGTGAACTGAGAGGATATTTAAAGTTAGGGAAGTTATACCCATAAGCGGCACTTAAACAATCTTCTCATATGCACTTAGCAAGAAAGAAGGCTCAATGTGCTTGGCGAAATAAGTATTTTAAGGCCATGAATTAACTGATCAAACTAAACACTAGACAAATTCTTCCAAAAGATTTGGGGTGGGTTGTTGTTTTTTTGCTAGAATCCTCTCCCCCACCATGCTTTCTCCCTCCTATAGATGAGGAAATAGAATGATAATCAATCAAGAATCATTAGGAGTAAAACAAGGTGGATTTTATTTAAATCATGATTAGAATCATAAGTTAAAGAAAATCATTGTTTTTATCCACCTAAAAACAAGAGAACATGTTGAGGTCATTATCAATTTACAGGCAACCTCCCTGAAACATTAAGACACATTTCAAAATTTCAATCAATAAAGCAGATATAGAGCACAAGATCTAGTGTACAAAAACACTTGAGTTTTTACAAAGCTATATGGAACAAGTTATTCACATCTAGCACACAATTAGGACCAACATCCTCAAGTGACTCAGCAAGCTGGAAAACAATTTTACTGTGATTTAATCAAGGGGTGGGGGAGGTCATACAGAAAACAAACAAAAAAAAAATAACTGCACTTTTTTCTATGACCAAAAGTAGGCCACAATTTTTAGCATAAGGAACCAAGACTTCCCTCTCTAGAACAATACCAATGGCACAACATATATCTAAATTAGCCATCTCCTTACTCCCATGCAATGGAGTTATCTCTCCAGAGAAATTACTGTATGTGCTTGTTCGACTCTCACAGGGAAACATATCACTTCCCATCCTCCCAACAATGGAAATAGATGTATGCATCACCAAGTGACATTAGAAAATACTACAACAGCCATTTCCAATCTGATGCCTTCTACATACTATATGTTGAGAAACAGTATTCAAATCATCATTTACCTAAACTAAATACTGTACTATATTTCTTTATTACTTTGGATAACTGTAACCATAGTAAAAATTAAACTTGCCAATTTAAGAAAATAGAATAATTCTGAACTTTAAAAGCACAGGGATTTCATAGCATTGTCTTGTTAAAATAGAGACTGCAAAGACTAGAGGAAAAAATCTCCACATTTCTTATGGAAGCAAACTGTGGATTTAAATTTCAAAAACTTTGAAGACATCTCACACTTGGAGGAAGAAAATGAGTTTTCTGTTATAACTGTCTCCATACCTTAGATTTGGTGATTCCCAACCTTGGGCCCCAAAATGTTCTTGAATTATAACTCCCAGAAATCCTGGCCAGCACAACTAGTGGGGGAAGGCTTTTGGGAGTTCTGGTCCAAGAATATCTGGGGACCCAAGGTTGGGAACCACTCAACATGCATCCTCTGTGTAGCCAAATATTACTAGCCCTACGGTTCAAGAGCCTGCCTACAGAGCCAAGGGTTGGGACTTCAACTGTCCACTGTGTTATTTAGAAGATCCAGTTTTGTGTTGCCTCTTAATATTGTCCAAGAGCACTGCAGAAGGAAATAGTAAACCACTACTGAGTACTCTACATCTAGAAAAAGCCAAGAATGATCACCTTAGGTACAGATCAGATTGATGGCTCATTATTTTTTATTATTATCATGTAGCACAATGAAGATGGTTGAATACCTTTGGAAAGCCTTGGGAAGGGGAAATGGGGAAAATGGATAAATAGTTTTCCTATCCTGTTTAACCACACCACTTAAGCTTTATTTTTTGAACATTTTCTACTGAAAAATAGTTATCTTAATATTATTATATTGCTAAAAAAAAGGTACCACGATAGTCCAAGACTGAAATGTATTCATAGTAATGATCAGGCTCCATTAATGCATAGGATAGGAACTTCCAGTTTAAGAGGAGGCTGTGTTTGTGCTGAGCTCCACTCCCTTTTTAACCTTTTAAAGTCTTTTAATCCTTCTTTTAAGAAAAAAAAACTTTTCAAACATTTTTATAATTAAGCCTTTCATTGTTTGTAAGGACATACTAAGGAAGAGTCAAGACTTAATATTTGTCCATACTAAGTGAAGGATGAGCTTGGCCACAACGTTTGTGCCATGCTCCTCTCCCACTGCTGATTTTTAAATTTCTTTCTCTAGGAGAGTAATGACAACAGGAACTGGACTTCAATTGTATCAGTAAGGTAACTAAACAATTAATACTCTTAGAATCATAATCAAAGCAGGGTGAATAAAAATCTATGATTTTTTTAAAAAAACTTAATTTAAATTACAATTGAAGTCATAACCTAAACTTCAACATAATCAAAAATCTTTTTCTTATTATTTGAGCTGTGATTTAAATCAAATCCACCTTGACTCAAAGTCTGCCAAAAATATTAGTCCTGCCATGGTGCAAGGCCCGATTTCTTCATTTTTAACACTAGCTGAAACAAGTGGATAAAATATCTGTGTATACATTTACACACAGTATCAAGAAGCTAAATCCCAAGAAGATGCACAAATTTTAGGTCATAAAATGTACCAGTTTCTGATATTCATGAATTTTAAAGCAAAACGTCCAAATGAGAAACTATTAATCTTTCAGCCACTGACTATAGACAATAATGAAATTTATTTTACTTACTGAGAGATTTAGAACCTGTTCCCATGCATCTTTAGTCACAAACAACATCTATCTAACCCAGTGAGCCTTACTCAGAATTAAATATCCCTAACTAGTACTGTTCTCTTATTATCTCTAACGCTATCTCTTAATTCACCACTACTCCTCTGACTGTATTATGGATTCCCACCCCCAAATTCTTTCTGCACTGATATTCATACACACACTTAGCTTAATAATACTGTACTGAGATCTACACATAAAGACTGTACAACAGACATTAAATTTGTTACTCTTAAAAATGCAACAATAACTTGTTTAAGTTGTTGGTGGTTCATTTTTACTGTATTTGTATACCAAGCTCAGATACCAAAGTGTTTTGATATCAGCAATGTTCATACTTTCAATGTACTGTATCTTATTATTTTCCAAAAAAAACCTAAAATGGCAAAAACTAAAATATACTTTTGGGTGTGGCAGCTTGCAGGTTTTGCTATGAAACCGTAGAAAATGGCAACTGCCTGAAAAGTCTTCTTTCAGGCTTCCAAAATGTGAACAATGTATTTTTTGTTTACGACCCTCTCCGACCTGAGCTCCAGTATATGGCTGTCTTAACATCCCTGAGTATGTGTGCTTTTAAGGAGCCCTTGAGGAAAATGTGAAATGTCACCCACAATGTATCGATATCGACCACTTCGGGGGAGAAGGGGGAACAGTACCAGATCTCTAAATCGAACAGGACAAGTCTAAGCCACATTATTACATATTTACACACCTGTTAACTGCAAAAAGTAGGAATGAAAGATTGTTTATAGAAAAGGTACCAATGTTTCACATGCAAAAGAATTCATATGTTTTTACACCATCACAAACTGCTGATGAAAATAGGATGATAAAGTAACACTTCGAACGGTGGACACCCATCGCCCTTTAATACCCACTCAGCCCCCGCCCCGCCCCGGGGCTTCAGACGGGCCTGGAGCCTCCACCAGTTGAACCGGGCAAAATGGAGATTTCCCCACCTCAAAACCGGAAACCAGGAGGCGTGAGTGTTCCTCGGAATCTCTTCACGGGTCACCCCTCCCCACCTCCACCGACCGAGTTCACCCTCGGCGCATGCGCAACAAGGCCCTTCCATCCCCACCCCACCTTCACAGCTAAATCCCCGTTCCGCCCAATCGAAACAGCTTCGACCTCCCCTCCCCCGCCGCGTCCGCAAAGGTGCGCGCGACCCACCCTGCGGCCAGTCTCCCCCGCGCATGCGCCTCACCTGCCTATTTCGTTTCCTTCTCAACCCCCCTCCCCAACAGCCAACTTTTCACCAACAAATTTCTTTTGAAAAAAAAAAAAGCTCCACATCGATAACTTTCAACGAGAGGAAACTTAGTTCTCTCTCATGTTCCCAATAAATAAACAATTTTTTTTTAAATTTAGTCCCCGCCTCAACCACCACATGAACAACCACCTTACCGGGTCGATTCTATCGGCTGCCTCCACTGCCGGCTGCGACCGGCTCACTCGCCGCCGTCCGGACTCCCCACAGCTGCCCCTCAAAGACCCCACCCACCTGGTGACTGACAGAAAATACTACCCTATTGTATAATTCTATGCGAAAGTCGCTGGCTATCACCGTCGTATAAAAGAGGAATGAGCCCGCCTCCGCATCAGATTGACAGCAAACTGCAACCAATTGGATAGCAGCGCTCTGCCTCAGCTCGGGTTTGGTCGTGTCATCGGGCGCTGTCTGATTCCGGAATGAGGGACCACAGCAATCAATCACCGCCCACCCACGAATTAGCCTGATAGGCAGATATGATTGACCAATCGCAGTGAACCAAATGCGTGTCAGTCCTATTGCAGACGGAAGGCGGAACGTAGCCTTCATAAAACATAGCCGCAACTGGCAGCCAATCGGCACATGCTATTAACGAAAGAAGCCCCGGTGATTTCCCAGCAAAGGCGGGGCTGAAGGCAAAGAAGGTGCCGCCTCCTGAGTGACATATGGACGGCCATAACCAATGGCGGCTCCCTCGGCAAGCCCCCGCGAAACTACTGTATTGCTCCCTGTTCCGCAAGCCCCGCCCATTCTGAGCGACCCGCCGAAGAGGCGCTTCCCGCCCAAGGGATGCTCAACGAAGGAGGCGGAGGGTTCGCTCCTCGGGAGCCATCTTGTGAGTCGCCCCCCCCCCGGCGGTCCAGCGGAAGAGTTGCCTCTTTTAGGAAGCGCGTCCTTTGACAGCCCTTCGCCTCTTGACCTGAGAAGGAGCGAGCGAGCGTGCGGCCCTCCCGCATGGCCTTGAATTGCTGTGCTAGTCCCATCGATCTCTTAGGCAGCGTCGTCTGTTTGGGAGGAGCCGCCCTCGGCTCCATGTGGACGTTCCCAAGCAGGAACTGCTTCTGTGCCATCAGGTTGCATAGGATGCAGGGCAAGCCGATGAAGTAGAGGGGTGTGTGTGTATGTGTGTTTTACGTGCCTTCAGGTCGCTTCAACTTGTCAGGCTTTGAGAGATACCGGAGTTTAGCTCGTAATGAGGGCTTTCTCGTGCCTCATAATGATTTTCTACAGGCAAGTGGGAATTTGAACCCGGGTCCCGAATCCTGCTGTGCTGTGCTATTTTCGTATCTGCTAAACACCAGGCTATCTCTCAATTCTGAATTCATCACTTCCCAAAGGGCCCGTTATTAACAGCCCTGTTGCCAGACTGCTCTTGCAAAACCCAAGGCCGTGGCTTCCTTTACAGAACCAATCCTTATGCTTCGGTTTTCCGTTTTCCTGTCACCTCCAACTTTTCCTACCATTCTTGCATCGTCTACTGAGCCTTGTTATGTGTCTAAAGTACAACAGCTTTTATTCATTTTAGCTTCTAGTCAATGTTCAGCCTTGAATTGGATCTAGGATCATTTATTTATTCATATAGTGTCCACGCTGTCAAATTCCAACATCACATTCAACTACTATTTCCTTCTTCCAGCTGTTGCTGCTGTTCAGCTTTCACATCCATAAATACTGATTGGGAGCACCACAGAATGGATGGTCTTGGCCTTGCTTTCCAGGGATGCAACCTTCCCCTTTGGGATCTGTTTCAGTTCCCTCATACCTCCCCTTCCACATCCAAAGCTGCTCTTTAAATTATGTATGACCTTAGCATAAGTTGAACTGTTGATGTGTTACAGTTACTGGCTTTTCTAGCCAGTTCTTAAACCCTTCTGAGTGCAATTATCCTACTTACTTTCCAGCAACAAAGGCACACATTTTCTGGGTTACAATTTACGAGCTTAGTTTGAGTGAAATGGCTTATTTCTGAGATAAGAACGTCCAGAAAACAGTACCTACACATGGATAAACCCAAGAAGGTACTTCATCCCTTTACTCCTGTCATCTCATTGTCTACAGTAGTGGTTCCCAACCATGGGTAACCCATGTGCTTTTGGACTGCAACTCCCAGAAACCCTGGGCAGCACAAAAGCCCCTGGGAACTGCTGTCCAAGAACACCTGGATTACCCAATATTGGGAACCAGTGGTATATGCCAATTGTTCTCAATTTGCTCTTCAGCTGTTTTGACCACATAATAATGGGCTCAAGCTGCAGAAAGTCAGATTTAGGCTAAAACCTAACTGTTAGAACAGTAATGCAATGTAACAAGTTACCTACAGAGACACTAAATGCTCCAACACTAAGTATTCCAGAGAACATTAGAAAATGATCTGTCAGGTCCCTGCCTTGATTTGCATTCCTGCATTGAGCAGGGGGTTGGCCCCTTCCAACTCTACAATTCTATGACCTTCAAGTTCTAGAAGTACCAGGCAGCCTGGCCAATGAATGGCCAAGGGCTTGGAGAACTTAAGATCTGAACTTCTGAATGACAAAGAACCAGTGGGGGAATATGTTTGTTTAGCAGTTCTAGAATTACTCTCCCATTAACCTTCCCAATTTGCTATATTGATTAGGAATGATTGGGAGTCTTGCAACATCAGGAGTATTTCTTGCTTTGTCGTTTAGTCGTGTCCGACTCTTCGTGACCCCATGGACCAGAGCATGCCAGGCCCTCCTATCTTCCACTGCCTCCCATAGTTGTGTCAATTTCATGTTGGTTGCTTCACAGACACTGTCCAGCCATCTCATCCTCTGCCGTCCCCTTCTCCTCTTGCCCTCACACTTTCCTAACATCAAGGTCTTTTCCAAGGAGTCTTCTCTTCTCATGAGATGGCCAAAGTATTGGAGCCTGAGCTTCAGGATCTGCCCTTCCAGTGAGCACTCAGGGTTGCTTTCCTTTAGAATTGATAGGTTTGTTCTTGCAGTCCAAGGGACTCTCAAGAGCCTCCTCCAGCACAACAAAGGCATCAATTCTTCGGCAGTCTGCTTTCTTTGTGGTCCAGCTCTCACTTCCATACATCACGGCAGGAAAAACCATAGCTTTGACTATTCGGACTTTTGTTGGCAAGGTGATGTCTCTGCTTTTTAAGATGCTGTCAAGATTTGTAATCGCTTTCCTCCCAAGAAGTAGGTGTCTTTTAATTTCAGGGCTGCTGTCTCCATCTGCAGTGATCATGGAGCCCAAGAAAGTAAAATCTGTCACTGCATATCATCCCCTTCTATTTGCCAGGAGGTGATGGGACCAGTGTCCATGATCTTAGTTTTTTTGATGTTGAGTTTCAGGCCATTTTTTGCACTCTCCTCTTT